TCTCTTTTTCATTTATATAAATTATATACAGCTGTTTATATATCTCATTATGTTTATCTAAGGGATTAAATGATGTGTTTTTCAAGCAGAGTAAGCGAGCGCAAGCGAGCGATTCCGGCTTGTTTGAAATAATAAAATAAATACATTATTTTGGGTTACTGTGTTGAGAGGATTCAAATGTCCTATCAATCTCCTATGATTCTTCAAAGCAATTAGTACAAAATCTATTTTATAAGGAGGAGGAGAGATTTCTGGTGATAGCATGAGGATTACCAAATGTCGTCATTTTTGTTTTTTGAATGTTCCTGGTTGTTGGAATAAGCTTGATTAAGCTTTAGGCAATAACCAGGCTCGAACCAATAATGATCTGGCCGACAGGATGAACATCACGTGGTCACAACAACTTTATTCGAAAAGTGTCCGCCTCTACTAACTACTCCATGACAGAGAGACTGAACTGTTTGGTCAATAGTTAATTTAGTAAAAGAAGAGGGATGCCATAGTCTTGTTTCTAGAACCATTCCTTCATGTGACGTAAAGCTTTCCTCACGAGCGAGAGAGCCTGCGACCGCTTACGTGTGGACGTGGCATCTTTCTTTCAAGGTCATCTGGCCTAATGCGGGTCATCGGTATCGTTAAAGGGGGATTACTGAATTAGATAACTGCTCTCAGTGTAGTTTCAGACATAGTTTACTTAAATAGAGCCTCCCTACGCCATTTTGCTTTGGAGCTCTGATCGGTCAAGCGTCGGAGATAGATCTGAGCATTTGATAGTGGTTGAGAGCTAATTTTTTGCATGATTCAGAACTGGCTGTTGTTAGGCACTGCGCCACCTCTCCCTCGGTATCAGGCAGTTAGGTCTGCTTCGCTTGAAGCAACTTATCTCGTTGTAGAGGTTTATTGACTAAGTCCATTTGCGTAATCGGAGCAAATTGAATCAGACCGCTTTTCTACTTCGAGGCATCAGCGACAGTATTTCAGAAGATTTCTGACCACTATGGGCTCGTATTTAGTCTGTGTGCCTTCTAGTTACCATACCATTCTGCCGGCCGGCCCTGTAGCTCTTATCTGCGTGTCCAATCACTTGTTGGGAACCAATTCAACGTGGATTTCAGCACGTGAAAAGGGTGCGAATATTTGACCATGCTTTTGTGATTTGGTGTCTTTGACAGTTGGCACTAGTGGACAATGGCTGGGAACTTCTGAAGTAGTGGAAAAGAAATGGTATTGCGCAACATGATCAGGACGCTCAATGAGTGGCTTGAATTTCCATCGATCATTCTCCATTCCTCTTCTTTATTTTATAATTTTTCATCTACTGTCATGAATTGTGATATTAATAATATTCCTTGTTCGGCGAAGGTTCTTGTTTCTGATTATCTGCATGTATAATCCGCCAGTGGCAAGGAAGTCAGTAGAGAAGAGGATCTGAGATATTAACATGTTTCACTTTGGTTCTCAACACACTTGGTTTCAAACCGTTATGTTCACTCCATTGTGAAAAAGGTCTCAGTAAATGATTGAAACATCAAATCCCGTTCATGTAGGTCTTTGCGAATCATCAGGAATTGAAATAGGGATCAATATGCTCAACCAGGGATACAATAAATAAGATGAAGATTATCAAATACCTTGGTCATTCGGTTTTGATAATACATGATGCACTTTCATTCACAAGAAGTTTGAAATATATATTCCAGAATGGCAGGCTAGCATCATGCTGGAGGGTATTCAAGTGAGGCTTATATACAGTTGAGTCTAAAGCTAATGTAATGTGTATTCGGGGGGCTCTGGCAAACGGCCTTGGCCGAGGAACAAGTCAAGAGGGTCAAGAAACATACAGCTTCAAACACACGGCCTGTGGTCATAGTACACACCGAGTATCAATGGCAATTCTAATGCCTTAAACACTTTAATAAGCTTGAGTTTTGTGGGCGATCTCATCCTCAATGTCGCCAAACCTTTTCACCCTCCAGGCGCATTCACCATGGAGTCAACTTGGCCAGCGCTGAGGGCGGTTCGGCAACATATATGGTTAAACAATTAAATCCCAGTCCGTTCGTCTCGGGACCCCCACGCATAAAAACATTGGAACTGCGTAATGAATGAGCCCGCCAACTTCCGCAGTGTGCCAATCCCGGAGCTAACCTCCGGTCCGATCTTTGGCCCGTTAACTACGTCACGTGGACGTGGACACCAGCCAGTTTCATCATGAGCAACAAGGAAGTCCGTTGGAAGATTCGCAGAAGATCACCCTAGAAAGGCGGCCAGAGAGTGCCTTATCAAATGACATCCTTACATGGCGCTCTGACTCAGCCTTCAGATTTCCTATATATCACAATGGCTACTGGTACAAAAATATATAATTAATCACTGTGATTCGTCCAGTGACCATAGTTTGATCTGGCTTACCCTACCTATGCTCGCGACAGCAGATATGTCTGATGGCTACACAAACGGTGCCCGTCTGAAGATTTCGACTTGTAAGTTCCGCATAGTGCAGTCCCAACTTCAGCACTTCTGAAACCTTTGCTGACTGGGGATTAAGCCTCAAAGCCAAAATTCCATTTCATTGCTGGCCTGGCTTCCGGGCTCTCTTCTGCCATTCTCCTCCAACCTGCAGACCTTCTGAAGACTAGAATCCAACAGGCACACCAAACCTCTGCACTCCTTTTCACCATTCGCAAAATCCTTGCATCACCGCAGCCTATCCGAGGTCTCTGGCGAGGGACACTACCCTCAGCACTTCGAACGGGATTTGGCTCCGCTCTATACTTTTCTAGCTTAAATGCATTAAGGCAATGTATAGCAAACCAGGGCGCATTAGTCCCTCTCCATGGTGATCGCGATGACAAGCGCACGCGCACATCCGCGCTTCCGAAACTCTCTCATACAGCAAACCTCCTTACCGGAGCCATGGCAAGAACTGCGGCAGGGTTCATCATGATGCCTGTTACTGTCATAAAAGTTCGCTATGAATCAGATTATTACGCCTACCGTAGCATTTGGGGTGCTGGGCGGGATATTGTGCGTTCAGAAGGTTTCAGAGGCTTATTTTCCGGTTTTGGCGCAACGGCGATTCGTGATGCGCCGTATGCTGGTCTCTATGTTGTATTTTACGAGCAATCGAAGAAGAATCTTAATGCATTGAACTTCGGTGGATTGACGACGGCACGGCCGCTCTCCGACGAGCCGGCTCGCGAGGATAACTCGGAAAAGCAGCTTGTTACCTCGTCCATATCGGTTAATTTTGTCTCCGGTGCGCTGGCTGCAGGCTTGGCGACCAGCATCACGAACCCATTCGATGTGGTTAAGACACGGTTGCAGCTGATGCCGAACAAGTATCGCAATATGGCCCACGCGGTGCGGCTAGTGCTCCGTGAAGACGGAGTGCGGAGCCTTTTCGGGGGCTTGGGTTTGCGCATGGGCCGCAAAGCAATTAGCTCTGCGCTTGCATGGACTGTATATGAAGAACTGATCCTAAAAGCCGAAAAGAGGTGGCCAGATCAGGATAATATCGAGCAATTAACGCCATAACTTGACTACTGTCTTGTTCTACAAAATCAACAATTTCATGGCATTTCTTGGTATATGATTCATTTGGATATATTGCGTTTCCCTAATGGCTTTACTTTTGGACCATGGGTGAGTGAAACGGATGGCATTTGGGCGGTTAATACTCTTCTTGTTCTGGAAATTCTACTGTATCATAGGATAAGCATTCCAACCGGCGTTTTTGGAAGTGATGGTTTTAGATAACATCGCTACTATTAATATTACTCTTCCTTTTATCTAAAACACATGAACGAGACATAACCAGGGTGGCATGGTTTATCAAATCGCAAAGTCCAGTAGATGTTCGTGGTGACACAACAATCAGCCCATAGCTATAAAATCCAATCTCACTGTTTATTGACAAGGATACTGAGAAGCCGTGGACTCTCACTATTTTAGCATCGTTTGCTGGCTGTTACCAACGGTATATCTTACGTTGATACGGTTCACAATTTTCAGCGCTTCATGTACTCCCTCTTGTCTTGACCAAATCGAACATATCTATTCTATCTTTTGCCCCTTCTTTCAATCCGATCCGTGTAAGCTGTTAAATTGGTATCCTGCTGCTGATCCTGAGTGATTTCAATAAAGTCATTTACTCCGTAGTCCTTTACGAAGCTACGGATAAGCCCTACTGTCAATATTATTCATTTCGCAGGGCTGCTGAATAGTAATCGATGTTGGCTTTAACTGTAACCAGTCGACGATATTTTATTATTCCAATATTGGTATTTGTACCGAGCAATGATTTTTAGAGCTTTTGGAGGGTGCTTGAATTATCCTGTTGAGTTGACAAAGAATTATTTAAATGTATCGCATAGAATTTGAATTAAAAATGACTATTTTAAAATATTAGATGGGGGAATTGAACAGGACATATTAACTATTAATAATTAGCAGTATGGTTTCCCTGCTTGGTCATATCAATCTTACCTAGGTACCCAAAGGGTGGCCAAGGAAATTAAAGTGTGTAATAAGTTAGATCAAATAGATTACATAAATTACACTAAAACACATTAATACAGTTTGATGCCTCATATTATTCAGTAGTTTCCATGTATTTAATACACTAATATACACACTAAAAATACACTAATTGTGTCCTGGCGGCCAGACGAGGGGATAGTGTAGCACGGAAACCTGATAAAAGAGAGAGTGAGATAGGTTGAGAACTCTCAGCATGGGAGAGGTTGTGCATGATTTAATAATGTCACGTGGTGCATGTCCCTTGATCAATCTAAAAATATCCTCGCTGCATGCAGGGTGTTGCCCGGCAGAGCGGTGTCAGAAACATGGTTTTCGGAAGACGAAGGAATCCCGAGAGAGGTAAGTACAGTGCAATGGCAACCGGACTTTTGTGAGGAATGCAAATTCGAATACATGATGCCTTTTGATGCTTAGCTCAAATATCTGGGTTTTTATAGCAGCAGCATGCAGTTCGGGTAAATATATATATACATATAGACCTTCCCACCGTAGGGGAAACTAATGGTTTCTTCAACATTTTTTACTCTGAGAACTATTGGGTTCTGAAGCGGCAACATCCCTGGAAGGAAGGCTTGGGAAACAAAGGACTTATTTGTCTAGTCGACCGGCCACTGAAGCGATAGATGGAAGGGAGCGATTGACAAGAAAAAAACTTGTTTAGATTTTACAACACAGGTAATAGCACCGCTTGATAAATTCTAGAAAAGAAAAAAGTTCTTCGTTACGCACCTGGGAGCCATTTGGAAGCAAATTTTGTATAAGAGCAGATACTGGAAAAGTCGTTGCAAAATATGGAGAGTATACTCGTTGCATAAGAGGTAAAGGAGGAAAGGGGGAGGGGCGAGGGGGTGGTGTAAGATAAATGACAAATAATTTATCAAACAATTCGAATATCAGCGGTCAACACTATAACAAAGTGAAGCTAGAAAAGACGAAAGCACCAACAGGATAGTGAAGGGCCAAGTAAGAGAAGGGAATAGGAACCAAGATATGCACGTCCGCAATGTCTGGAGACGTGACCGCGAGGATAAGGATCGGGTGAAACGGACGGAAGAAGTTCGGCCAGACCGCATCACAACAGATATAAGTGGGATATGGCTTTTTACCACAGTCCCCAACCACTCGCTCGCCGTGGCGACTTCTTCCGTGTTCGAACCAAATACATTTCATCCCGATCCCGAACTCTGACACCCACTTGTGGCTGTGGGGGAGCGGGGGCAATCAGAAGTTTTTGCCCATGACGTAGTGCTTTTGTGTGCTCGAAGAGCTCCTCCTGCTCATCGTCTGTAATCCAGCGTTTGATAAGAATGAATTCCTTGTCACGCTGTGATGTTTTCGGGAAAGAGGACTAAGTTAGCGGGCCTTTCTTCATGTGCGGAACGAATTTAAAAAGGGCAAGCGAGGGAGCTGAGAAGCAATAAACAGGGGCACTCACATCATCCCATTCCCATGGTATATGGAAAAAATCTAATGTTTCCGGTGAGATATGTAGGGAAGAGACCTAAAGGCAAATTGTGAACCTGGGGTGAAATACAAAACAAGAACAAAGGGCAAAGAAAGGGGACCAGGTTCCTTCGTTGGAAAAACACGGAGGGATAGCGCACCTTGATAAACGTAGGCTTTATGGCTGGATGAGCATGAGACTTCGGCTTCTCTTCTCCCTTGAGTATGGATGTGATTTGATCGTCGGTATAACCAGACTTTGCAAGCGTCGCCCTAGCACGTTCTTCGAACTCCCTGTCTGCTTTTTCTTTGTCCTTCTTTTCCTTTTGTTTTTTTTCCGCTTCAATCCTGTTGTATTCGTCGACTGCTTGCTTCTTTAATTTAGCTTCGTACTCTCGACGTTCGGCCTCTTCGGCCTCCTTCCGGGTTCGCTCAGTCTCTATCTTCTCGCGGATTCGCTTTTCATGCTCTTTTTCTGCTTCTTCCTCTTCTCTAGCTTGTGCACGTCTTACAATAAGTTGGTCGTCGATGTATCTCTGGGCTTCTAGATCGTGCTGCATCTGGAGTAGTCTCTCTATCTGTAATTCATTTTCGATATCCCGGCGAGACACGCTATGATCTCCGTGGCGGCCCCGCCGATCTCTACTCTCTCGATCTCTCACACGGTCTCTCTCACGGTCTAACTCCCGTTCCCTCTCCCGAATTCGCGTATCTCGCTCCCTCTGTAACTCTAGTAGTTGTTCGTCCAATTTTCTGTTCCGTTCCTCCATCGCGGCTTCTTCACGTCTTTCCAATAGTCTCAGTCTATCCAGCCGCAGGTGCTCCTCAATATCCAAACGTGGGGAATGGGAGGAACGGGATCGTGGCCTCCGATGGCGGCGCAGTTGTTCCATCTGTTCGTCTAGGTCTATAAGGGCTTCATCTTCCGCGAACAGTTTTGGTCTCGCACGGACATGGGAATGGGAGCGTTCGCGGCTTGGGGAGCGAGCTTCATTCACGATGAAAATGTTGCCATCTCTACCCTGGGGTCCTACCGACGAAGCACGAACACGACCACGTCTCGGAACTTCTAAGTTCTCTCTAACCACTCTTGGGCGAGAATGTCGGCGTACTCTGGAGTGTGAACGGACCACGAACGAGTCATCGTCCGAGGAAGAGTATGAAGAGACACCGCCGCCGAAGACGATATGGGGTGGTGCCATGTTTGGAAGCCCTCGTCCTGGACTAGGCGTGCCAACTTCTGATCGATGGTCAAGTGACTACCCCCTCTGGCAGTTCCTCTCTTCCTCCAACGGTAACAAGGGACAGGAATGAAAATATTGACAAGAAGTCTCTAATTCACGGTGAAGAAAGCAAAGTGGTAATCTGGACAATTTTCAAGCTGGTTGGATTTTGTAGGGTGAACAAAAATGATGAAGGAAAAACAAGCGCTTTCGTTGAAAGGCGGGGTAAAATTCCACTTCGTAACGGGACAGGTAGAGAGGATAGGCGCTTAGACAGAACTTGATCAAGAGGAATGGAAGTAAACGTGGCAGGCTACTTATGATTCTACCCTTGCCAGTAGCTTAACGGGATACTTTCTTTTATGGGATGTGCATCGATGAACGAACCTGGTGGTTTGACAGGGGGTTCGTTACATATGTCCTGCTTGAAAACCAGAGCTTGAATTATATATGAACGGTGGTTTGTGAGTCGTCTCACGTTGACTTTTGAAGACCGAACGATCAGGTATGGACTATGATAGGAGTTGAATTAAATGCGTGCCATCAAATAGGTCACACAATCCCAAGAGGCCCAACCAGAGGCGAAAAGTTTGTTTTTTGAAAGACGAAGAATAAGTTGCAAGGCGACGTATAGAATTCTAGGTGAAGCAGGTGGTAAGCTGTTTATGTCGGTGAGGAGGATTGGGCCAGCACCGGTAGCAGCGAGGCCAAATCAGCTGCTGATTTGTTTAAACCGACCAGGCTTCGAAGGGTATCTATCACGTTCGCTCCACCTTTGGGCAAAAGTTGCATGGCGCCGATGAAGTGCAGCACTCTAGCGACAGTGACCAGTACGGGGGCTTAGTGGGGGTCTCTTGCAACTGATTTGTGGGCTGGTCGCCCAGAGAGGAATCATAACGCCGCCACTTAATATTAGTATCGAATACTTGGTGGAGAAGATGCCTTGGCTTTTCAGCCTCCAATCTGTCAAATAATTTATAACCTAGGCTGCCTCATGCGGGTGCGCCGTCCCTGCCCAGCAAATGCCGGGAGAGTCTTATAGAAGCGGGAGTATCATTCATATTGGACGAGGAGCCTGGTGGTCAGTCATGCTTGAAAGAGGAACTAAAGCCTGTTTCTGTTGCTGGTGATTGGCAGATGCAACGGTTGGAAGCACCCGCAGGCTGTCCCGTCGGGATAGGATGCTCTCTTTTCTGCAGAATTTTTAGGTATTTCCCTGGCCCAAACTGGGAATATTCGGGCTCAGGAAGGGTTTTTTGATGGTTGACAATCCTCCCTTGCCTACTAAGCTTCGAAAGTTTGTTTTGCATGCTTCCCATAAGTTACCCCAAATCAACAACTGGGCGCTCCCCGTTTTACAGGTTGTCCAAAGCATCAGTTATCGACGGCAACTAACTTATTCAACAAAAATGATTAACCGCCGCGTTGCCAATGCATAGTATCGATAAATGGGCCGCTGACAACAGATCATATCAGTTTTACTCATAACACCCCGGCCATTGGGCAGATATGCAGATGTTTTGTTTTCAATGCATGATATTCTTGTATTAATGGCTATTTTTCATTACTTTCCAAGTCACTTTTGATGATGTGTCTAGATAGTCCAATCTGTGAATACGCGCGCTCCTATCTTCTTTTTTTCCGCTCTTCATATGGTTATTAGTTTATGGCCTGTTCACGCGTTTACGGGAGCAAAGAGCACCGAAACATACTTTCAATTCATCATATAACGTGATATTTCTGGAATTAAATACCACTACTATAAATGCGATCTAAATTGACGAATTCCCTGTCCATTCTGCGGAATCTCTTCTTGACATTGAATGGCATGTTGATGAGAATCTAGAGCCCAGCCTGTCAGTCTCCACCGTATATGGTGCCTGAGGGGTTGCCAGATACCCACTGCTGTACATACGCTGTGTGGGTTCTTACGATATCCCATTGCTCTCAGCGGCGGTCTTGTTAAATTTCCTACTTGGGCCCTGACGGCACTTCCGCGTGGCTGTCGCAGAAATCAACTAGAAAACTCGTGTTTGGCATGGGATGATCATGCAAACAAACATTCGTTGTGAATACCTATTCCGCAAACATCCATATGTTTGATGGTGAGGCTGATTTGGAGTGACGAGAAAATTCAGTGAAGAACGTAACAGCAGCGCATTCTCACCCTCTACTCGACACATTCGTACAATAAATAACCCGGCCTGTAATCTCCCGCCCAATCATATCGCGACATTCACCGGTGCTAATAACTATCTTGGTTTTTGAAAATCTTAGACTATAACACGGTCCTGGAAATTTAACATGAGTGAGTCGATGAGGAGTCTGACTGTTTATAGAGGAGGAATATTTTAGCGGGCGTATTTATGAGAAGAAACAGGGGCATTTACAATTTCTCTCGATTTAGTTAGGAATACCAAATCCGGGAGTTATAGCAATAACGTTTCAATGACCAAGGATCAGATCAGATATTCGCGGTAGACGCCTGCATGTAACTCCAATGCAATTAGGCTTGGGGATTATTTTTCATTCCCCTAAGATATTTGTATGTAGAAGATCATATCATACCACGAGCCGCGCTTGTCTTCCGTTCATGGCGTCATAACGTTTGCACCAACATGGCCATTGAGTCGTGTCAAAATGACCAAGAGAACAACAATCTCACACATATATGCGGTCGACCTGCGATGGGGTTTGCCCCATATCCATATCCATAATTTGATGGTATGAAAAACCGACAAAGACCGTTCTCATCAGCGCTCATCTGAGCTGGGTAGCTAGTCAAAATGAATTACCAACCTCCAACGGCCAGCGGACGATTCCTTGGTATACATTCGAATAAGCACAGCATATCTCAGCCTTAACCCCATTTTCACATTTATCAGTCATGCCTTGCCACCAGTCTTGAATATCTGGTCCATATGTTGCCGGCTATTTTTATGTGTCGTTTCCAAATAATGGAGCTTCTTTTCTAGATTGGATATTGCGGTTTTCAATTCTCCTTTTTCCGCCGATAGCCGTTTATTCACGTTCGTGATCGGGTTTGCGACAAACCTAGGAAAGCCCAAAAATGACAATGTCAGTAATATTTCTTTCTCTAATTCCGTTTCGTGTCTTATATTTAAGAGCGCAGGTAAAGGGGGAAGAGCAAAGGGATGAAGATTTAAAAACGAGACCGCGGGGAATAAAACACATCACACATTTTCCCAACCCCCTCGTATACATTTGTTTCCTTGGGTAACTGGCTAATTTCGTTCGATGTGAGTTCTAACAGGCGCAATTCCCGCTGCTTCCCTGTAATTTGCGATCTGACAATATTGATCTGTTGCTGTGTTGCGACCGCTCGGGATTCGATTTCTTGTACGAGCTATGTTTTCAGGAAATCCATGACATGTCAGAATGGCAATCATGGTACGTAAATATCCGGAACGGTGAGCACCTTTTGAAGAGCTTCTGGAGGGATAGACATTTTGATTTAGGGTGGGATGGGTGGCGATGGACGAGCGCCCAGGGTGTGTTGAATGGATATTAATTGGATAAAATACGATGAACGTGAGGTTGCCGATTCATCAGTGGAATCTTTTGCTTTGGAATAAAGCTCCAAATATGAAATACTTCACCTGGAAAAAGAAATGTCTTCGCGGGTCGGGAGAGATCACATGACGAATAAATTCATATCACATGATTCAGACGTCCTGCTTAATGTGGGACGTCTATAAGTGGTTGTATTAGCATGTCGGCAGCTGAGGCATATATGTGCGGTGCGCTAGTCCGTGATAGGCAGCCTAGGGCCAACACTTTATTTGATGAGTTCCGTGGTGAATCTTACAAATACCATAGATAGATGAGGGAATCAACACGAGGCACTTTACCACATTTATCCCTATGGTTCTCTGGTATCAGGGGAACCAGTCTATGGTGGAAATACCGTCGCTGGATCCCGGGTTTTTACTGAAACTTCTGAAGGAGAAACCAGCCCTATGAGACACCTTCAAACCGGTTTTCCTCCGCTTTATATCATTTATTAATTCTTATTGGAGCGATTTAACAACGTGGCTTCGATAACAAGAACAAAGCGAAGTCTTAGATCGTATTAATGCCTCAGTTGGAAGCGATTGATTGACCCCGTCACCTCCACGCAACCCCGCGATACCTTAAGCTTAAGAAACCAAAAATTAGGGGCCGACTATATTTTTCTTCGGGATGGTTGGCCACTATGGTGTTTAGTAATGAAGAAGAGAATCCCGGTTCCCAAAGCCCTCGTTTCGCCTGACCCGCGGCCATGGACGAATTAAAAAACGTACCCAACATCGATGCAATCCCGTTCGGTTTGCCTGGTGAAAGCCAATTCAGAATCTGTTGTAGGTTTAAAGAGCGGACAGGCAATCGACACAATCCGCAACCAACTACCAACGTGAACCAAACGAAGCGGTCGGCTGTTAAATTTATATTATAGGACGACATGCCAAAAGAGAGGCCATCAACATAGCAATGATTTCCATATCCGCCTCCAATTTCTAAGAGTGCGTCCTTTTATGGCCTCAGCGTCCCGCCGTATTTCAAAGCGCCAACTTTTGCTACCGGTTAACTGAATACTTTGGCCTTTGTCCTTATACCGTCGTTGCCGAACCTCATCAAAACCCAGCGGTGCTGTTTACAAGACGGCATGTTTCGTGTTCCAACTCGCGTTGGAGGTGTCGTGGGTTTTAGTGAGCAGAGACCAGGAAATAAGTTTCATTTCAAACTGTTCATATCCACTAACGAAAATCGATTCTAGCACTTCCAGTGACCCGCCGCAGCTTGGGGGACTCTGATCCTGAAAGCATCACGTACACTAGCCGACCAATTAACTTTGAACAAAAGCGGGAACTGCACGGCGCTCTCATGACCATATTATTCATGATCCTCTTCCCTATCGGTTCGTTATCGATGCACCTCCGAATCAAAGTTTGCATCGCACCGTACATCCATGCGCTTATTCAAACAATCGGCATAATCATGGCAATCATGGCCGTAGCGCTGGGCATCAATTTGACAAGCGATCTAGAATTCTGGAATCCACTCCACACCCATGTCATTGTGGGATCAGTTGCAACAGGAATAATCCTGTTCATTCAGCCTGCGCTGGGTATTGTACAGCACCATTACTTTGGAAGAGCTAGGGCTGGATATGTCAATAGCCGCATTTTTGGCGTTATGCATAGATGGCTAGGGAGGGTAGCTGTAGTTTTGGGCATGGCGAATTCTGGCCTCGGATTCCAGCTGGTTGGTGGCGAGGAAAATGTACCTAAAGGATCTCTGGTGTGGAACTTTGTTCTTATGGGCGTCTTCATATTGTTATGGTTTTCGGCTGTCCTGATAGATTTCCTTGGACGGCGGAGGGAGAGGCCGGTGCAAACGGAGCGGGAAATAGCGGAAGCGATATCTACCACAGCTGGGGAAAGAGGCGGTATCAGGAATACAACCTTTCAAATCCCTAATAATAGGCCTCCCCAATAAAAATCTTCTTCCTCCTCGTTCGTTGTGAGAGCTGATAAGAACCATCGAGGAGACTCTAGGGAAGTGAATTAGGGCTCTGCAGGGCTGCCCTAACCCTAATGGGCAGGAACTGGCCAGAAGCGGCGATTGATGACTAACCTTGGGAGGGCAGACCAGCGAAACACCTACAACCCTGCCTGAGACACCACGACTATCCAGAACATCCAGGTTGATAGTCTGCTGTTCTCTTGCTGCTCGTTTCAGTGCCAGCTACCAAGTCCACTGGTGTGTGAATTCGTCCCACCTGCTAGTTTCTCGATAACCCAATTACTACTACCTCTTGGGCACTAAGTACTCCTACTAGTTCAAGATCCAACCCACTACTTTCTGTTTCCTCAGCTTATTTTCTTTCTTTATTTTCTTCTTTAAAACAGCCATATATATATCGGAGTATATTTGTTGATAGAAATTATCGTATTCCTTCTACTTCCGTCACTCGCTGTGGAATGATCTGGGGTACTGGTCTCACTCACCACCTCCGGAACCCTGCGCATACTCGACTACATCAATCACCTTATTTATAGGTTGTTTTTATAGTCATTTATGCAGCAGCATCCAATTTTTCCATATCCGCCTTCCCGGGCCGGGTACTGGGCCCCTATAACTTCAACACTGAACTGGTGCGAAGAGGTATGTCGTGTTCTTCCCCTTGGGTCACATGCCTCTGGAATTTTCGGCTTTTTAACTCCAGTCGCCCTTCAGGATTACTATGCGAGCTTCTATCTCGCTGAGTTTGTGAATGCGCTCACGAATTGTTTATTCCTCTGGTTAGGCGTCAAAGGCCTTCTGAGTTGTAGAAGGAATGGCCACGACTCAATTTTCCAGAGCGCCTTCCTTGGTTACCTCACAGTCGGCTTCGGCAGCTTCCTCTTCCACGCTACCCTGAAATGTACGTCTCAAAAAATTTTATTCGTACCGCTGCGGGCACTTCGTCCCGAGTATCTATGTAATAAGATAACTGACAATACCATAGACCCCATGCAACTCGTCGACGAGCTTTCTATGATCTACACAACCTGTTTAGTCTGCTATGCCACATTTTCCTACTCCAAACCTACGAAAACTCGCGTACTCCTAGCCCTATTCCTCCTGGCCCTTGCTATTGTCATAACTTTATACTACCACTATATCCAAAACCCAATCTTCCACCAAAACGCCTATGCTCTTCTCACGGCTATTGTTCTTCTTCGCAGCATGTGGGTCATGGAGGCTGCGCTGCGGCCATCGTGGCGCAATAAAGGCCTGGAACGAAACCAACAGCTTCACTCCTACGAAGACATGCGTGACCTGAAGATCTTGCATACTATGTGGGTTATGGTGGCTTACGGCCTCGCCACCTTCTTGGGCGGCTTCGCGATCTGGAATCTGGACAATGTGTTCTGCTCCCGCTTGCGCGGATGGCGAAGAAAGATCGGGCTGCCCTGGGGCATCCTATTGGAAGGTCACGGCTGGTGGTATGTACTAACTCCTGATTTACATATCTGTTTTTGTGAAAACGAAAAAATCCATGATCGCAAATATATGCCTCTCCCTCTTTTGCAGTCACTAACGGCTAAAAACAGGCATCTTATGACTGGAATTGGCGCCTACATGTACATTGTCTGGGGAATATGGCTACGTCACTGTCTGAATGGACGCCAGGAAGAATATCAATTACAATGGCCCCGCATTTATAGTTTTCCGGACGTCGTTCGCGTTTCAAATCAGGGCAAGAGGAGCACAAATGGTTCGACCAAGTTACCAGCGGCGCATAAACCATATCATAATGGTATGGCGAAGAAGATCAATTAGGCATTTTTTACCCACCTTATACTGACCGACCTATTTTCTAACTCTTTTGCTATATATATATATATATATATATATATATATATATGTATGTATGTATGTGTGTATGTGTGTGTTTGTTTGTGGAGGCATGAAGGGGACTGCCCCACCACTCAGCAACGGCGTTACGTCGGCCCTATATAAATGCACGGTTCTGTGATATATGATGTATCTGTATTAGACGGGGTTTGTGTACTTGGTCTACCCGGCTGTCGGTTTTGGTACCCCTTTTCATTTCTTCTTTTCTCTTTCGTTTACGTTTTCATATTATTACACATTACTAGACTTTCGCATGTACTGATGATAGCTTTGGCCTCGCGTCAGTTAGGGAGCATCTAAAATTATGGGCTTTACTCCTTAGCTGAGGATGGGAAATTGGAAATATTATGGATATTGGAATAAATGGCATATGAATTGTGCCAATAAGGGATATCACATGCATACGTGCAGAGTCTTATGTGGTATAAAAATATATATTATTTGGAAAAAATCTATCAAGGCCTCAAATGAGAAAAATCACCTATAAAAACACCCTCAACAATGAAACGATATATATATAAGAAGAAACCCCATCTATTGTGTCATAATTTTGTGTCAGCCCTGGCCACTCCACCAACCCCATTCGACTGATTATTCCTAACTGGTGGCTTAGCATGTCCTCGCCACTCCTCATCGATCGTAGCCTTCTCAATCTTAGATTTCTTCTCCCACTCCCGTCTAAACTCCCCTTCCTCCCTCCTCCACCTCTCCATCTCCTTCCCAATCCACTCGGCCGCGTGGGCCGCCGTCTCCGCCACCGCCTCCATCGGAATCAAATGCCCCACATCCTTCAGCAGAACGGACTTGACACGACCCTCCGCCACCCCGCCGCTCCCTCCAATCCCAATGCCTGTGTTGTCCAGCTTAGCCTGGCAGTGATGGGGGAGACACATATCTGACTTGTCCGCAAAGACGTATAGGACTGAGGGACGGAGATGAGGGAGTCGGGCGAAAGTTAGGGCAGCTTCGGGGCGGTAGAATGGGAATGCGTATGTGATGCCGGGAGCGAGATCGGGGTGCGTGAGCCTATTTATGGGCTTCGTGTTGGTTGGGTCGTAGTTTGGGCGCGAGAATGTGAAGACTTCCTGGTGCCGGGTTGTGGTAAGGGTTACGGGATTTTCGCTGTGGCTTGCTGGTGAAATTGGTGACAATGATGATGATGAGGAGGAGGAGGAGGAGGAGGTGGTGGAGGTGGGGGAGGAGGAGGAGGATGAGGATGATTGGGGTGAAGGGTACAGGGCGGTGGGGAGTTCGCGGAGGCCGTATTGGATCCAAAGGGCGAGGACGCGAGGGTCCCAGTGTTGGTAGAATGGGCTTTTCTTGACAGCTTCAGCGGCCGCAGCGCGGGAAGGCCAGATATCACGTCGGTAGCTGGAGGCGACGGTTGTGGCGGGTGCTGTGCTGGATTCAAGTTTGTTATGAAAGATGTGGTCTTGCGGGGTTATTTCTGGGCGGTAGATGACAGGGTCCAGGAGGATGAGGGAGGTGAGGAGTCGAGGGTGTAAGAGGCTTAGGTTGACTCTAAGGATGGGGGATTTCGGTCAGTTATATATTTGAAGATGGTACTGCGTATAAATAGCTGATTAAGAGGCGACGAACAGGTTGTTACCACCCATACTATGACCGATGCCGAAGATTGGACGGGGCATTTCCTCTCGCTTCAGGTTGATGAAATGTAGCAGGTCCCTGGGGTGATCAAACCATGAAGCTGTATTCCAGTTTCGGAATATTAATTATTCATTCCCACGACTGTGAAGCTGGAAGAGGTATGACTAGCAGAGCATACGGTCATTTCCCAGGACATTCTCGTTCGACACTCCGCTATTGCCCTGATGCGCTACATCTGCTATCCAAATTCCCCTAATACCGAAACCGTGGCGCTTTGCCCGGGAAAGGAGCTCCTCCCACAGGGGCTCATATAATTCCTGTGATTTTACACGGTCAGATGGGAGATACCTCATTCAAGGAGCGCAACACCGCGCTGTAAATACTAGCAGGCGGTGGTAACGGGGTTAAATGTAAACACGAACCTTTGGGAAGCCATTTGCATGAGCTCCTATGATGGTTATATCCCCAGGCTTCGGGTTAGGGTTATCGATAGGGACATACTGCTTGACAGATAGCCACAAGGTTTCTTCCTGTTCTGTAGCAATTGCGCGTGGATACTCCCTGATATGTTGGCAGGGAGATGAATGCTCGATTACACGGACCGACCCGGATATCATAGTTTCGATACCATGAAGCCTAAGAGACTAGTTTCTGGATGCCACAAATGGAATGTATTATTTCCTACTGTTGACAGCTTTCCCAGATGGATACTGATTATTATTTAATTCGCAAGAGCGGGAAATGTTTTTCTCCTGATCAAAATCTAGCTGGGGCTGGTGGAGAGGACTAACTCGCTTAACTTGTTAACTAAAATACTTACAGCTGGGTGCTAAGGGCGTTCATGCCTGTGGCACCTGAATAAACCAGTACAACTTAACTAAAGATAGCCTAAATCTCAAGGTGCTCGGGAATGAAGAAATTAAAA